GGTTCTTGTTTTACTGTAATATGAGACGTATTGTTAACATCGTCATAATCAAAGGTGAATGTTCCTCCCAAGAATTCAAACTGGTTTCCAGAAACAAGTCTGATCCAAAATAATGTTTCCTGGTGCAAAAGTGTTGACTGGCGAATACACGAAAGTGTCACATTTTGTCCAACATCAACAGTCTTTGTCACAAAATTGTGATCATTTGAGCAACCTGAAAAAACAAACAAACAAAAAAAGTTATGATACTTGTAAACAAATACTATTACAAACAAGAAAGATAAACTGTTGTCTGCCACGTGCTAAATTACTGTGAGAACATATGCATGGTACTTTAATTATAACTGCAACACGTCTTTGATACATACTTACCCCCCATTCTGGCTGACAGCAGTAAATAAAATAGGACCATCATTTTCTTATTAAAACACATTTACATTGGAGCATATGATGATATGACCAGCTTTAAAATAGACGTGCAATGTGGGAGGGAACAATTTTAGATCAGTCTGATTGGCCTTGCTTTGCTTTCTCATTCACTATTTTACCACAGTGGAAATATCAACTATATTTCCTACATAAACACATGAAACAACACCAATGAGTAGCACCGCTAGTCATTGGTGCTAGTATTTCTTTAGTGTTGTTTAATTCAAACACATTAAACATGAAAAGCTCTTTTCATTATATACATTTAGAAAGTTTTCAGCTGAAACTAAATAAATGAACTAAAATAGGTCTATAGAAAGATAAGATAAGACAGTTTTCAGCTAAATAAAAGATGTTTGTCTGACAAAGCAAAGACAAACTTGCAGTAATGTGAATCAGTTCAATGTCTTTCAGTTTCAAGCTTTTTGTATATCATGAGATAATAAATACTCTCTTCTTACCATTTTCTAAAATGTATTAAATACAGTCTCAGATGAACAACAACTCATGGTATATTACACAATTTCATGATTTATGTAGCAAAAATTGAACGAAAATGCTCAGGTTAACCTCACCTCATTCTAATATATTGTGTTTGTTATGCATCAAATGTGACACTGTGCATTATGACGATACATCTGGACTTTGGTTTCATCTATCCACAGGACATTGTGAATAATCTTTTTCATTATAGAATGATGGGATTGTCTGTCTTCCTTGGCATTGTGTTCACACACTAAAAAATACCTCCAAACTTTCAAAACTTTTGTTTTTACAGAGGTGGCTTATGATGAACTAAGTGTATTTGATTAGCATTACCCGGCTGCTACTTGCTCTTTAATCCCTGTGGAAGCAGTAGGGGTATGCCTCTGTTAAATAAATAATGTCACAGTGTTTCATGCCTTGTCCCGGGATTTATGTACGTATTAGAGCAGCGGTCCCCAACCTTTTTTGCGCCACGCACCGGTTTATGCCTGACAATATTTTCACGGACCGGCCTTTAAGGTGTCGCGGATAAATACAACAAAATAAAACTAGTACCGGTACCGAAAAAAAGAAAATTTATTCATAACACGCGTGAAAAGACCCAGGAAAACTGAGTAAATGATAAAAACGATAACAAAATAACGCTGAAAACCGATAAAAACCCTGAAAACCATACATTTCACACCTGAGCCTCAACTCTCGCGGCCCGGTACCAAACGACTCACGGACCGGTACCGGTCCGAGGCCCGGGGGTTGGGGACCGCTGTATTAGAGTATTCAGGATTTTAACTAACTGACGGTTTGCTTCTTTTAAAAACATGTACTCATTGGTTCTTCAAAAGTTAAACACTGTCTGTATACAACTTTAGCATTTTTTCCATTCAGTTTTGTTTTCAGTTCAGTATTTATGATGGTGTTAGCCTTGTTTTCAGAAAAAAAAACCAAGACACCATTTGACTACAATATTACATAAGCAAGCAAGCTAAGTCTGATCCACAAAGGAAAACATTCTGTGCGATACATGTTTTTATTAAACATTTGAACATAATACCACACAAACACTTGTAGAGGATATAAAGTCAGAGAGATACATGTTTTTAAAACGACAAGGAGCAGGCGCATCTAGTTCACGTAGAGCGGCTGCAAAACAACAACATACAAGCAGAGCTCAGCAGGCAGCACAACAAATTTTGGATCCTTCACTCTTAGTTAGCGGTGAGCACAGCACATGCCACGTCTGATGTGAAAGGGCCTTTATGCTGCGCAGTGTGACTCACAGCAATGGTCCTAGGTCTGCCCTGACTTTGTGTTAAAGTAATACTAAATTAATAATGGTATTTCTGACCATTTGTATAGGACAACTTTATCCTTTCAAACCTTACTCATGTCATATCTCATGTAGAGATCCTCCAACTTCAAACTGTGTTACCCTACCAGGACCTGAAGCTCAGTAAAGAACCCCACCGACAGCCAAACCCACCTGTTGTCTGATTGGGTTGTTAAATTTGTGATTGACATGACACTGACCAATCAGCTGAAAGGAAGAAAAACCGGGTCAAAATTCATACTTGCAAGTTGAAACTCACCCATAAGCAGGGAACTTGAGTCCAGAGTTTTATAGGTAGTTTTTTGCTTTGTATCTGTAAGCAGATCTTAACAAAAATAATTTGTAAATATGTTTTACAAACACAAATCATTTTTTACACACACACACACACACACACACACACACACACACACACACACACACACACACACACACACACACACACACTATTTTTCATCTACAAATACACAAACAGATGATTTTCAGATATTTTGGTGTGCAAGGTTACAAAACTCTCAACTCACAGCTAGTTGTGATTTACAAGTACAAAATATTTATGACCACAATTTGAGCCCACAGACTCCCACATATAAACTTGACACAGAGACAGGACTGAACTCAGACTTACAAACTTACATATGTGGCCTATACACCTTTTGAAAGTGTGAGATGAGAATGTGTGGTTTTGGATACATTTCCTCTTATTGTCCCCTGAAGCTTCGACACTTTTCTTCAACCTCACATGTGAACAAATGCAAAGTAGCTCACAGTGCTCGAGAAATCCTCTTTTTTCCCTGTAAGTATTACATGAGATATCTAATTTGAAATCATTTTTAATCTTTGAAATAAAGGGAACAATTTCTCACACGGTAATTCTTTCTAAACTAATGTATTAGATTTTGGCACATGGACTGTATAATGTCTGTGTGTGAAAAGTAAATGCAGAAGTACCAAAAATCTGCATTCTTCTAAATGACGAGGAGGCTTGAAACGCTTAGTGGGGCAAACTGTGAGAAAAAAATAACTCTGCCATTCTTTAAGTGGTCAGAATAAAGGAAGTGATAACTTCTAACACACACCTATGTGTATTTTTACTAAATAGGCAGAAGGCAATTTCTGACATTTCCGCCAATGACCTGTTTGTGCTTTAGAAACACTCCTCACCGTGTGACTATTTGGGCAAGAAGAGAACATTAGCGCGAAGCTGCAGTACAATGACCTTAAAACTGACTGTTTTCATTCTGCTTTTTACACCAGGTAAGTGCACTTCTTTTTCAGTGTGAAAGACATGATGCACATCTTCTGTTTGTAATGTGCGATGTCTGAAAACTCAAATATACACAGCAAAATCTCCAGTGTTAAATTAACACTGGAGAGTGTCTATATGGGTCCACACCTCTGAGTGTTAAATACAACACTGTTGAGTGTTAAATTAACACTTTTGACAGTGTTATATGTTTAAAAGTAACCTAGTCAGTTTTGAAGATTAACAATGGCTAACACTGAGCAGTGTTGGTTTTCTAACACTAGAATATTTCTAACATTTTGAGTTATTTTCCAGTGTTAGAAAATCAGCACTGCTCAGTGTTAGCCATTGTTAATCTTCAAAACTGACTAGGTTACTTTTAAACATATAACACTGTGGAAGGTGTTAATTTAACACTGGAGATTTTGCTGTGTATCTTAGCCATAGTTGTGTACTAATGTTTCTACAGGTAATTACATTGATATTGTCCTGTAGTGTTGAAACTGTTCTTGTTTTCCTTTTTTCACAGCCCTGATTCTGGCTGCTGACCTTCTTCCACCGATTTCTTTGACTGCTGTTGAACCTGGTGACAATGTTACTTTAGTGTGTAATGTCTTTGGGGTGGAAATGAAATATTTCTACTGGCATAAACAGCCTCTTGGACATATGGTCCAAACTGTTGCCAAAGTCATCCGTGGCCAAAGCACTATTTCTGAGGAATTCAAAGATTCTCGTTTCACAGTTATAAAAAAGGCATCTCAGTATTTTCTAACTATCAGAAATGTCAGTAAAGAGCATGAAGCAACATATTTCTGTCACACTGGAACAGATTACTCTCCTAAATTCAGTGGAGGAACATTCTTGTTTGTGAATGGTACATTTTTTTTCTTTAATCTGTCAGTCTCACTGATCACCTTCAATTTTTAATTAACTAAAAATAGTTTATGTTATGAATTTGTCTGATTCACAGATCACAGTAACCAGAAATGTGTCTACGTGAAACAAAGTCCACAGAGGGCATCGGTTCTTCTGGGACACTCAGTGACACTAAATTGTTCGCTTCTCTCGAAGAACAAAGAAACTGCTGTCCAGTGTTCAGATGAACACACAGTGTACTGGTTGAGAGCTGGACCAGAAGGATTTGATTTAAACATCATTAACACTCACAGGAACAGCAGAACTGAAGATGTGAAGAGAAGTTGTGTCTTCAGCCTGTCCAAAACGATACAGAACTCCTCTGATGCTGGGACTTACTATTGTGCTGTGGTCACATGTGGAAAGATCCTGTTTGGTAATGGAACTCAAGTAGAGACACGTATGTAGTGAACATTGGTATTTAAATCAGAAACTAGCTTGCTTTTTCTTTTTTTTTAGAAAATTGTTTTACTCATTTCATCAGTAAATCAATATTTGTATCAATATCTTATAGACTGATTTCGAATACACGAGCATAACTCCCAATAGTCTGTATAAAATAAATATGATAAATTTCCATAAAAATCAGGACCTGAATTAGAACCTGTTGTCCTTGCTCTTGGAGTACTGCTGGCCTGCTGTGTTTCTGTGATTGCCTTTCTTATTTTCTACATAAAACAAAGGAGCACAACAAAGGAGCACTGCAGAGGTAGGTTAATACATACACACACACACAAAATACACACACACACCCATATATACATATATATATATATATGGACTGCTCCACCTTCCCAACAGTTATAGAAAAGATCCTTAGCAAGTTACCTTGCCAACTTGGGTCAGCAAATTTCTCCTAACCCTAAGTAAGGAATCCACAAAGGACTTAGAAACAGTACATTTCACGTGTTTCATTACACGGTGAATACATCATTCCAGTTAAGCCAAAAGAACTTTATTGCCTTCTAAAAGCCTGTCAGTAAAATGTCACAAACAGGACAGGAAACAGGGTGCAACCCTAATCACCTGATTGCTTCGTGTGTATTTAAGTCCTCCGTCTTCCTGTGTTCAGGGTTGCATCGTCTGTGTTACCTGCCACCATGTTGTCACAGTCGTCACAGTCATAGTCATTGTTGTTTATAGTTGAGTTTAGCCACTGTCCTTGCTGTTTTGTCACGCCACCTTGTATCAGCCATAATAATGGCTCGCCTTTTGTATAAAGTTCACTTCCATCTCCTTGCCTGTGTCTGCTCCTGGATTCACCTCACTCACTCCACTCGGTCTGCCCTGCAGACAGTGACATCCAGGTCCCAGCCACTAGATGCATTCTGTCTGTTTATAAGTGGCCCTTAATAAAACAGTGTCATGACAGCTGTAACCATATTCCTCATATGTAAACTCAAAAATTCAAAACTCCTTTACCTTTTCTCTTTATAGGGGAAATGCATGCCTCCAGTCATTTTGGACAGGACGTGTCAAATGTGGATCGAGCAGTTTTGGTAAATATACCTTTGGACATGCTGCAGTATGTCTTGTGGAGAGGGCATGCATAATATCATACTCACAGCATATAAGTTATATATTATAATCTTGTTTTGCCATTTTGTTAAATGTGTTCCAATATCATTATATAATAAACTGGAATAAAGTTACAAGGTAAACAGCAAAGTCTTAAATTAAATATGTAACTTATTAATAATTCTAATCTCAGTAATCTCATTTAAATTCATCCTGATTCTCCACCCATGAAATCTGAAATATGTGTCATTTCAGCCTATGAACTATTCATCGGTGCATTTCTCTGCAACAAGTGTAAAAAGAGGGAAGAAGAGGAGAGAGTCACTGCAAGACTATGTGTACACTGATGTTAAAGACCACCAGCAACGCTCTGTATAAGCCAAGGGCAGAAGCCAGATGCTCTGACCTTTTTAACTTTTGCTAACAAAAGTTTAATATTTGGAGACCATTCCCCAATGCAAATACTGTTTATTATCTAAAGACTCCGATCAGCTCATGTGGGAGAGAACGTCTTCTTAAGTTCCATGTATATATCCATATGCTTATGCTTATGCTTAGGGTCACATGGGGGATGGAGCTTATTTCAGCTGCCATAGGGTGAGAGGAAGAGCACATCTTGGACAGATCACCAATCAGTCATGGTAAATGGTAAATGGCCTGCATTTGTATAGCACTTTACTCAGTCCCTAAGGACCCCAAAGCGCTTTACACTACATTCAGTCATTCACCCATTCACACACTGGTGATGGCAGCTACATTGTAGCCACAGCTGCCATGGGGTACACTGACAGAGGCGAGGCGACAGAGTGCTACACGTCCACATTCACACCAACCAACTGAATTACAGGATGTCTTTTGCCTTTGACTTTAAAAAGGTGCAAAACAACAGACATTTGTTGTGGACAAGAGTTTGGCAAATGTTTTTTTATTTACATAAGTGGAGACATTTTTACAATATGAATAAATTCTGTATGATAAAGACTGGTCCAGATTTGTACAATAAATCATACAATAAGCTCACTGCTGCAGTTTTTTGTCTTGATACAGATTGTAATGTAAGGTTCTTAAAACCACTGATCGTTTCTAATGTTGAAATCTGTAAACGTCTCTGATATACGGTTACTCTGGATAAAGTGCCTTTACGTGTAGAAAAACTGCAGGTGGGATATAAAGTTGCATTTCCTCAGTATAATAACCATGACCACAAAAATAGAATAGAAATATTCATTTATTTTATTTAAATCAAATAAAATTTGTAACTTTGTTGTAAAAAAATTAAGAAATGTGGGAAAGGGGAGCACTGGAAACTATGTATATTACGTAGCTGGGCATCTCATCACGTGTATTGTTTTAATTGGTTTTTTGAAGTATTTGGAGGATTTTTTTTCTTTACAGCAGGTTGAAAGGAGATGGCATGAGATGAGAGAACAACAAATACCACTCATGGCCAGATTAGACAAGAATGTTGAATTTCTGGCTGAATGGAAGAATGAGATTCATTCAGTATACAATACTGAGTACAGCTTATAGGCATTAAAGATAAGCCAACATCAACAAGGTGATCACATACCAAGTGATGCTAAACAGGTTTGCTAATTCAGTGATCCAGCCCTAAAGTCTTGCAAGTCATGTTGATCTTCTGCATCTTCACTGCTTTTGCACCTTTTAATGCACCTCTGTTAGCTTTCATCATGGTAAAGACAGCAGCAGAAAACAACCACGTGTCCTTATTCTGGGAAAAAGATAAATAAAAATATTAGCAATATTGAATGCTAAACACCAATACATTTTGATTATTTTACAGAGATAACCCAAGCTTTACCTGTTGATTTTTCTGAGCGCTGAATCTTTTCTGTGGAACAGCACCTTGTTTATGGAATATATCGATAAATATTAATAGAAATGCAAAACTTTTTACTTTAATTATTTTTAGCTAAAACACTGTGGTAAACTTTAATTGCCTGAGAAATGATCACTAAGGTTTTTCTTGATGAGGACAGCTATAACTTTTTGTTTAAATTTGATGGGATAGCTATGATTAACTTATATTACCTTCACAATTATCCCTGCTGTTTTTCTTTGACATGCGAATCAGGACAGCTATAACAATCAGACATATAGTCAAGACAGCACACAGCAGAAGAATAACTGTACTGGCACCCTGTGACCACGTACAGTCTCCTGGAACAATAACAAAGAAGAAATACAGTAACAGATGAGTAAAAGTCAACCTACTGATTAGATTCCTATAAATGTGAAATTTTACACCCAAAAACTAATTATGGTCTATACACTTACATTTTTAAATATTCAAATGAACAGATCATGGTACACCTACCTTGAATATTCACTTTAGTTCCATTTCCAAATAATATCTCCCCACATATGTCCACAGCACAGTAGTAAGTCCCAGCATCAGAGGAGCTGACGTTCTTAGAGAAGCGATAAACACATCTCTTCTGAGTCTCAGATCGATTCTCACATTCATCATGTGTATTTCCATGAGTATAGATGATGTTTGGATGAGATTTATTTGATCCGGCTCTGAACCAAAAGACACTAAGATCTTCTGAACATGTTGCTTTGTCAAAGACAGAGATGATCGAACATTGCAGAGTCACTGATTCTCCTGGATGGAGTGGGTCTAATACTGGAGGCCACTGAACAACAGTATAGTTTGATGTCATCTGAGTATTTCCTGTGTATTACAAAAGATACGGAGATGCTTTAAAGCTTATAGTAGAAACTTTAAAGTTTGTAAAAGTAGCTCAGTCTTACCTTTTACTGACAAATACGTCTCACTCCACTGAATGGGATACATCCACTCAGCTATTCCACAGTGATAGATTCCCTCATCCTCTTGGACTGTCTTCAGAACGGTCAGGTTGCAAACATTATTAGCATTTTCCACATTAAATCTCTTTCTAGAAAACTCAGGACTATATTCAGGTGGTGCTGATTTTGACAATGTCACAATTAATTTAAGACCATCTCCAGCACTCTGCTTGTACCAGTGGACTGTTATACTGCCGAATTCTTTAATGGGCAAAGCACATGTTAATGTTGCTGCTTCACCGAGCTGAACGGTTTTTACTGGGACCAGAGAATCTGAAGAAAAAGAAAAAGAAATAGAAAAAGTGTTACAAGAAAAAAAAGAAACATTTAAATGATAATTGTATTAATTGTAATTTTAGTATGTAGAGTTTCAACAAAGAAAATTATTAGTGGAAATAAAAAAGCGCTTAAATTCTCTATAAAAGTTAAGAAAATTATTATAGAGAATAATGAAAAACCACTTACACCCTCGATGAAGAAAACTCAGTGTAATCCATACCATGATCATCTTGGCAATGTCTTTTGCTAGAAGCGTTCTTCATATTTCAGCTAGAAGAGGAGGTGGGATTGTTTTAGACTAACCTGTAAAATGCTGCTGATTGGTTATCAAACAGGTCATTTCAGAAGTCGTCTTCCTGTCACATTAGTCCGATCCTTCATTTTGTAAAACATCACTTGTCTTTTAGCTTTCATCACAGTTATCCAAGTTGTTTACTTTTTTCGAGATAAGATAAGATAAGATAACCTTTATTAGTCCCACATGTGGGAAATTTGTTTTGTCACAGCAGGAAGTGGACAGTGCAAAAGTTATGAGGCAAAAATTAGAATACAATAAGAATAAATACAGTACACAACTGTACAGAATAGAATAAAATAAAATACTATATACAGTAGAATAAAATAAAATAAATATACAATAAGATAAAAATAGAATACAAATACAAATACTATATACAACTGAGTAAAAATACAACGATGACAGAAAGGATTATTGCACTTAGTATTATTGCATATGTATGGATGTGTGTGCTTGATCAGTTAAAGTCTTTATTATGGAGTCTGACAGCAGTGGGGAGGAAAGACCTGCGAAATCTCTCCGTCCCACACCGTGGGTGCCGCAGTCTCCCACTGAAGGAGCTGCTCAGTGCTGTCACAGTCTGCTGCATGGGGTGGGAGATGTTGTCCATCAGGGATGACAGCTTAGCCGCCGTTCTCCTGTCACTCACCACCTCCACTGGGTCCAGAGGACATCCTAGAACAGAGCTGGTTTGATGGTTGTTTTGAATGTTTTTGTGTACAAGTTGTGTTCTGACTGATTGGTCTTCTGGTCTTTTGACTTGAACACTGGTAGCTTTGTTTTGTCATATGTACTTCATTCTGCTTATGTCGTGCCTCAAGGCACTTCATGCTGTAGGTTACAGAACCTACAGTATTTGGAGGAAAGCTCAACAAATGACCCCCTATAATTAACCACTTTGAGTTGGTGAGAAGGATAAACTAAGTTTTAACAGGAACAAACCTCTGTCAGAACCAGGTTTAGGTAGTGGCAATCTACCATGACCGTTTCTGTGCTATGTTGAATTCTTTAACCAGACTGAAACACTTCAAATAAGTCAATTATCTGCCAATGATCATTTGAAATGGTTTCTCAGCGGCTTCTTCTCTGACTCCACCTTATGGTAGAGCTGCTCTTCCAAGTTTATTCTCTCCCACACCTGCAAGTTATTATCCATGTTGAGACTGCTACCTTAAGGACCAGCTGTGCCAGTGATTCTCTGCCAGACCATTCTGTCCATTTTAATAATTCTTGGATCTGCACCCCACTCGCTCATCAGAAGCTCATCAGCTGTGTGGACTTTCACTGGTGGCTTTGCACCCTGTGCTGACCTCCATCTCTGTCAGTACATAGACGTCAACCCAAGAACAGATTCAAAACAGGAAACAGCAATATAGGTTTTCACAAGCTTAATTGCTAAACACAGGACTAAACAGTGACATGAGGGAGAGAAGCTTGGCGGAGAGTCAGAAACTGTAAACAAAGGTTTGTTTCTACATGAGCTTTGATCATTCTCTGTAAGATTAAGCTCAGCTATTGAACGGCGTATATTTTAAAGTAAAGGCTTTAAAACCAAGTTAGTACAAACGTCACTAATGTCACATGACTTTGCCGACATGTGGCCAACAGGAATGTTTTCATGTTCTTCGTTATTAAACATTTGCACATAAATAAGTGACATAATATTCAGTACTTACTTAAAGTTTACTCTTCGGACGCCCCTCATCCGCCGTTTTTTTTCGGTAAAATTATCCACACCCATCACCGCCCTATGCATTCTGGGATATGTTGGGCCATGAAGTCTACACCGCCACGTCCTTGAAATTCAGGGAAATGAAGGACGCATTTGAGGCAGCCTTCGAATTGGGACAGCCTTCGTCGCGTCGCTGTGACGTAATCGGCCTTAAAATGCGGCCTTTAAGGCTGCAGACGCTGAATTGGGATACATCTGCTTGTTTCTTGAGAACGTGGAATATAATTTTCAGTCATCATACTGGTTATGTGAAATAGGCATTAACTCTATCAATTATACTGGGGTTTTCTTGGTTGATTGTTTTATTTCACTTTATGAAAAACAATCACAATTGTGATACATGGAAACTTTAGCATTGCTATGATTTTGCTTTCAACCAAGCATGTACAAAGAGGCCTTTCTTCCTCTTATACTTCCTCTCTCTTCCTTTTCTCTCTCTTTCTGTAATATCAAGTAACAGCTACCACTGTTTTATCAAAAAGCAATAGGTGTGAAAAGGTTAGACGCATCCTCACACCTTTTTCTCCCTCATGAGCTGACCGTTTCACACTTTCATGTTTTTTGTGTTTGTTTGTAGTTACAGAGAGAACTATCAACAAAGAGAAGGTAAAGTGCAAATCATTAACCAACCACACACTGGAGATTTTAGTAAAAATGCTATGATGGGAAATCTCATGAACCGTTGATACTTGAACTGTTCCAGAAAGTCATGGGGATAATCGAGATGTTTTCTGGTAAAATGTGAGATCAGCCTTTGTGTTCTTTTTGATTAGCACTTTTTTTTCCCACCTTGGAGCCCTACATAGACTCAATATTTTCCAGGTCTCTTTCTTATTATTAAATGATGGTCACTGATGTTAACTGAAGAATGTAGTTCTCTAGATGTTGTGCCTGCAGATCTAGATGTTGTTATTGGCTCAGAACAATATCTCATTTCTTATTTTTGTGGCCCAGATTCATACTGCAGAGATCTCTCAATGATTCCCTTTGATTTTGACCTTGGTGGCAATGTTGCTTTTGACTGAAATGTAATTTACAAGATAGAAAAGTGAATTCTTACCCGTTTTGCTTACTGCTAATAATTTGATAAAAGAGGATGAATCAGCATACATTTTTCTAATGAACCCTGAAACAAGACGCATGAAATGAAAGCATTCACTTGTCCACATGTCTATTAGCTAATTATAGGCCTGTTTCCAAGCTTCCTTTACTTTCCAAGGTTTTAGAGAAAATGACATTAAAGTGTGGTTGGCTTTAAACTTTTTAAATTTTAATGAAAAGAAAACAGAGGTGTTTGGACTCAGTGGTCCCTGTGAGTCCTCCTTTATTGATATGGGACCCTTGGAAGTTTATTTTATTTATTTAAACCTGTTATTACTGACCTTGGTTTTAAGTTGGACAGACAAGTTAGAGCAGTGGTGAAGTCCAGTTTTTAACCTTTAAGGTGACTGGCAAAAGTGAAGTCTTTTCTTTCTAACCAGCACCTTCAAAAAGTGATCCATGCTTTTATTTCTTCCCGTCTGGACTACTGTAACGCACTTTATGTGTGGGCCAGTCAGTCGCTGCTCTCACGTCTGCTGTTGGTTCAAAATGTCACTGCTCACCCTGTCGGTCTCTTAGGTCAGCTGACCAGCTGCTCCTGGAAGTACCAAGATCCAGGAGGAAGCTCCGAGGGGACAGGGCCTTTTCTATCGTGGCTCCTAAATTATGGAATAACCTGTCCTTGCACGTTAGAGAGGCGCCTTCACTGTCCACTTTTAAAACACGTCTTAAAACTAGTTTTTATTCGTTGGCTTTTGACCTCAGTGAGACTTAGTTTCTCTTGTAATTATATTAATTATTTAAATGCCTTATAAGCTTATATTTTATATATTTTTCTTTTATTTGGCTTTTATTTATATCTTATGTAATTTTATTATGTAGCTTAAATGTACATAACTTTGTGTCAGCTGTGGCTCTTTTAAAGTGCTTTATAAATAAAGGTGATGATGATGATGATGATGATGATGTGAGACAAAATTAATTTACACTTGCAGGTACAGGAATTATGTGGAATGATGAAAGCTGTGTCTCTAGTCTGTACAAAACTATGGATGGGAATTACATGTGAAATCCTGTTTTGTGAACAAACTAAAGTGGAAAAAATTGCATTTATTTTTGTATTTTCCCTTCTTAGCAAGGCAAAACACAACTTTGTCAAACTTCTCTAAAGGTTAGATCTTTGACTAAAAGTAGTAAAGCTAATACAAATCACTACTTTTAATTTTATCAACACATTATCATTAAATTCCCTATTAATAGCACACTATTTCTAGCATAGTATGCATGTTAGCCATGTGATAGACTGACAACCTATCCAGGGTGGTCATCTATTAAAGCCTATTTATAGAATAATTTCACAAACAAATTTCTCTTTTAAGCATTATATTTATTCAAGTTGCAGAATTTTAGCACAGTTGATACATTACAGAACTGAAATTACATTTCTGCTTTTGACTTTTGCACACTGTTCATGCAACAGCATTCATGCATCAATGCAGTGTGTGCAGATAATTCAATCTAAATACAAATAAGCATGCTGATATAACATATACTGTATTGAATACTAAAAGAGATAAGAAGCCCATTATTAAAAAGCAAACATCAGCTCGATTATTGCATACCGGGAGATACTCAATAGGCTAGCTAATTCACTAATCCAGCCCCAAAGCCTTACAAGCCATGTAGAGTCGCTGCCTTTTCGACATTTTTCCATCTTTTAATGCACCTCTCTCAGCTTTCATCAGGGTAAAGACAGCAGCAGAAAACATCCATGTGTCCTTATTCTAGGAAAATCAATCAAAGAAAAATATGGGAAATGTTAAAACCTAAACACAATTAGGCTTTTTAAATTAGGACAGCCCTATTTTTAAGTACTTTACCTGTTGTCTTCTCTGATCACTAAAGTTTTCCTGCAGAACAGCAACTTAATTGCAGAATAATACAGATAACAATGAATTCAAATTAAAAACATTTTACTTAAATTCATTGATGAGATTGCTATGATTAACTTTAATTACCTTCACAGTTATCCATGCTGTTTTTCTTTGATGTGCAAATAAGGACAGCTATAACAATCAGACATATCGCCAGTAAAGCACACAGTAGAAAAATAACTGTGCTGGCGCTCTTTGACCATGAGTAGTCTCCTGGAACGACAAAGAAAAAAACAAAACATGTGTTTGTTAGTTTATAATTTTTTTCTCTTTTTGAAGTAATGGAAAGCAGAATGATACAATTTTCCCTTTAGAGTGGATGCAAAATTAAATAAGTTTAATGTCATCTCCTAATGAGATTGCTGTGAAATAGAAAATACTTGTTTTACACCAAAATGCTGCTAAATTCAGCTGAAATTTACAAATTTTAAACTTAAATAGTCTAATTTTCAAATTAAAAGATGAGTGGTACAGGTACCGTGAATATCCAGTTTAGTTCCATTTCCAAATAATATCTCTCCACATGTGGCCACAGCACAGTAGTAAGTCCCTCCATCAGAGGAGCTGACGTGCTTAGAGAAGCGATAAATGCATCTTTTCTGAGTGTCTGATCTTTTCTCACATTCATCATGTGTATTTCCATCAGTGTAAATGACTGGATGAGATTCATGAGATCTGTCTTTGAACCAAAGAACTCTGAGACCTCCTGGACACGTCTTGTTGACAGAGTGAGAGACTGAACACTGGAAAGTCACTGTGTCTCCTGGATGGATTGGATTTGATCCTGTCAGCTGTTGAACAACTACTGATGCTTTCTGATTGTTTCCTGTGTAATAAAAATGCAAAGACATTGTGCTGTCATAGTAGCTGAAAAATATTGTAAATGAGTGTTACGTTCCCCTAAAAAGGTTCAGGGGATGAGGAGGATGTAACAAAATGTGTCCAGGTCGAAAAAAGGAGACAGAGAGGCAAAATAACTTTTTTAAAGCTTATATTAAGGATGTACACTTACCTTTTACAAACAAATATGTGCCACTCCAGTTAGTCCTAATCCACTCTGTGAGCCCACAGTGATAGATTCCCTCGTCCTCTTGGACGGTCTTCAAAATAGTCACATTGCTGAAATTGTTATCATTATGTTCCTCAAATCTTGATCTAGAAAATGCAGGACCATATTGCGCTGGTGTAGATTTAAACGATGTCATAATTAACTTTAGGGTATCCCCGTGATTCTGCTTGTACCAGTGGACTTCTCCACTCTGGAGCCCTTTGGGCAAAGCACATGTTAAGGTCACTGGTTCACCAAGTTGAACTGTTTTCACTGGAACCAGAGAATCTGAAGTAAAATAAATAAAATTAAAAAACATTAAAAAGCATTATGTACATGTAAAAGTCATCTCACAGATTGTTTATTCTAATAGTCCTCTATTGGTTAGCGTGTACAAGCGAAGACAATTATTAGAGAGAATAATTTAAAAAAGCACTTACATCCTCGATGAAGAAAAATCAGTGTAATCCATACCGTGATCATCTTGACAGTGTCTTTTGTTAAGGATGTTATTCATATTTTAGTGAGTGAAGGAGGTGGGATGGCCATACCTTTGGTGTAAAATGCATCTGATTGGTTATCAGATTCAAAGCACACTTCCTGTCCTTGGCTTAATGAAACAAGGCTGTCATTCATCTCTCATTGCAGCTGTCCACATTAATTACTGTTTGTTTTTTTCGTTGGAAGGCCGGTTTGTGTATGAGTTCTATTCTGAATTCCAGTCTTTCAACTTAAAAGAACTACTGCTGTTTGCGATATGTACTTTACTGCAAGAAACGTATTACATTGTGCATCTTAGAGGAACACTATACATATGAAGGGGCACAAAATAAATTCTTCCTTGCAAGAAGTATAGATCAGGCTGACCGAATGTTGCCTTTAAAAGTGGTTTTGCACCTGTAAAAACCAGAATTAGTCTATTTTCTTAACAGATATCAAAGTATATCGTGTGAAAAGAAAAACAAAATCGCACATAATCACAGAGGAAGAATCAGAATAATGCTGATCTTAAACTACACGATTTAAGCTAAAAATGTACTCACTCACATAAACAACAACACTTGTACTGCAAAGTAATTCTGGCAGACTTTGTATAACAACAGAGCTGTGTAAGGAAGATAGAAAGCTGTGCTGGTTGGTGGGTTCTTAGTGGAGTGGAATGAAGACAGGCAAGCTTTTTACCAGAAAGCGTAGAAAGTGGAGAACTAACCATCACACTAAAAAGTGCAAGAGAAAAATCTGACACATGGGAACCTTTATGATCCAATTTGAATTGGGTCATAAAGGTTGTAACTAAGGATGGGTATCGTTTAGGTTTTATCCGATACCGGTGCCAAACCGGTACTTTTGAAACGGTGCCGGTGCTTAAACGGTGCTCAAACCGGTGCTTAAAGAATGGAGAACACAAACTTTGTCCAAAAACCTAAAACATTGATACTGCTTCTTACTAATAGATATAAAGCAAATATTAGAGCAATACTGAATAAAACAACTCTTTTTCCTGTCCTGTTTAATCCATTGATTAGTGGCTTAATTGATTATGTAGCTTAGGAAGCTGTGCAGCTAACAGGTCACACAACATACCAGGCTACCAGAGCAAGTGACTCCGGTAAGGCCAGTGGGAGAGGACTGTGTGTGTATACAAACAACAGAAGGTGCACACACACTAAGATTACCAACACTCAGTGCTCTCTGGACTTGAAGTATTTGACTGTTACGTGTCGCCCCTTTTATCTACCTGGAGAACTCAGGGGTAATGATTACTACTGTAATACTTTAGCCACCTGCTAAATGCTATTAGCAAGCAACATCCTTAACATGGTGAAACCAACTGCTAGAGTTCTAGTGAGGCCCAAGAGAACATCTGAACAGCTTTGGGGCTGCTTTGATTGAACTGACTGGTCTAGTTTTAAGGATGATGACATCTACACTTACACTGTACTCCTCTATTATAAGAAGTTGTATCGACACGATCACTACCACAAAACATATTTCCCTTCTCTAACAACAAGCTGTGGATAATGAAAGATGTCCGAGTCCTGCTTAAGGCCCTTAACATGGTTTTCAGATCTGATGGCATACAACAATATAGTGTTGTCAGGTCTGGTTTGAAGAGGGGCATCAGAGATGCCAAGGTAGATGGATTGATTATTTTATAGCACATTTCTACTCTGTCTGAGACTTAAAGAGACGTGACTTAAAGCGTTTTATGTTCACTTCCCACTGCTTTGAGGAAGTCACAAAGATCTTAAAGGACTCATCCCATCCTACCCATCATCTGTTCAACCTGGTGCTCTCCATCAGTAAAACCACAGACAGATTGTCTAACTGTTTTTAATCATTTTTTAAGTCATCAAATATTAAAATATTAGTTATATGAAGTATTTGCAAGGTAAATCATTGTCGAAACAAAAAACCCCAAACAGGTTGGATCACTATTTTGAGAAACAAAAGAAATAAAGAGAAGAGAACAAAACAAAAAAATAAGGACAGAAGCAAATATTTTTTAGTGCACTGCATTTGTAAGTTCGTCATTCGTATAACCACAGTAAACATGTGCTGCTCACATTGAACATCATGTGTGCTTCAGTTTAATTGTTCTTTAAATGTTGTCCTGACTACCTGCTTGGCAGACCACAGTACTCACCACAGTGAATACTGGTGTTGTAGTTTTAGTTGTGCTCTAATAGTGCTTTAAGAGGAAACCTAAGTACCTTCTTATAGTGAAATAAAAGTGCTACAAATCACACCAAAAGCCACAGTTTGGTACTAGAAAGTGTTTTATTTATTTACATATTATGATGTTACAAGAAAACGTCTTTGAAAATGTGTTCCTCCACTTCACTACAAGTGCATCCCCACTTAGGTCTTTACGTTTGACAACAGTAGTTTTCTTTACATAGTATTGTATAACTCAGCCTTTTGCTTTTGTGAAAGTACAACATTTTTAAGCTTACAATGGTATCTAATATACCTAATATTAGGTGTACTCTACTGTGACATAAAAGAAACACCTAAATTATTCAGTGGATCCAAAAGGCTCATTAATCCAGCCCAAAGGCCTTGACAGCAGTGTGGAGTCTCTCCCTCTCAGCTGCATCTGTTGTCCCACCTCTGTCAGTTCCATCATGGCAAAGACTGCAGCAGAGTAAAACCACACATCCTCTGCTTTCTAAGGGGAAAAAACAAAATGTCAAAAGTAACATTTCATTCTGATGAGGTTAATTCAGTCGTTTACTACTTTACCTGTTGAGTTTTCTGGATACCAGTGTTTTTTCGCAGGGGAACAACACCTACATTATGGAATATGAAAAAAAAACAAGAACTATGAATGCAGCAATTCAAATATAATGCTGTTTTCTGAATAGCTGCTATTACCTTTGCAATATTGCGTGTCATCTTTCTTCATTGCAGCAATAAGGATAGCTATAACAATCAGGCTTATAGCCAAGACAGCACACAGCATAAAAATAACTGCCCCGGATCTGTGTGACCATATGCTGCTTCCTGGAACAATATGAATAAAAGATCTGACAGTTAGAGTATATCAAAATGTTTTAATTGATAGACCGATGATTGCGTTACCATGGATGTCTGGCTTAGTTCCAGATGATACTGTCGAACTCTGAGCAACAGAAGAGTTGGAAATGCTCTGATTTTTTCCTGTTGGACATAAAGGTTTTTTTAAAGTTATACAAGCTTTGTTATAAATTTTTAATTTAGGAATTGTGTATATTAGATTAGAAGCACACTATTTTTTTAAAATAATTTTAAATTAATACTCTACTACTAATAACACTGCCAAAATAATAACAAATGTGCATTTAAAACACATAAAGTTAGATTCTGGTGAAAGCCTCAGCAATTAAAAAAAACACCATAAAAAGAAATGAAACAAAATAAAAAAATATTAAAAATGAGATATTTTGAAATGTACTGATTTTGTCATTACCTTTTATTAATAAATGCATCCCAGTCCATATAATGTCTGCAAGCCACTCGGAGACGCCACAGTGATACATTCCCTCATCTTCTTGAATTGTCCTCAAAATGGTCAGGTTACTAAAACTGCTGTTGCTTTTTATCTCCCATCTGGATTTAGGAAAATCTTGTGCATACTCAGGTGGTTTAGATTTCCGCACTGTCACAATTACTTTCAGTGTATCCCCGGCACTCTGTTTATACCAGTGGACTTGTCGAGGGAGGACCTCTGTGTGAGGTAGACTACAGATGAAGGTTGCAGGTTCTCCAGCTTGAACAGTAATTTGTGAAACCAGTGCATCTGACATAACACATTAAAGCACATTGAGTAACAATGTATGATCCAATATGACTCAGCTGACATGCATGTCTTGACTATGAGCATTTAAGACTGAATAAAAAAGCACTTACATCCTCGATGAAGAAGATTCAGTGCAATCCAAAACACAATCATCTTCACATTGTCTTCTTCTTGGAGACTTGTCGATAATCAGCAACGTAGGTCGATAGGTCAGACTGCTGAGTACATTAAACGTGCACTTCCTGTGACACAACTTGGAGTGCCTTGCATTTAGGTGGGTGTAGTCACCCTCAACTAGCCTTTCAGTTTTTAAAAAAATGTCTTTGTGTGAATGACTTTTGGATTCTCAGGACATTTTGTGTCATTTATTACTGTGTAATGCACTTGAAATGTTGTTTTGATTGGGAAGGAATAGTCATCATTAGTGCAGCAGAAATGGCCATGCAACAAACATTGCTGCTTGCTCCTATTTTCACCTCTCTCTGTATTACATAGAACACTTTAACTAACACCTTTTTCAAGCCAAATGTACAAGAGGAAATGTGTGTGCCTCGTGCACAGAGTGAGACACTGAACTAGACATTCTTTGCTGGCATGTTGCAAGAAATTTTTGCATGCTTGTTAAAGCCACTTTGGATAATCCTAAAATCTGAATGATAACAGTATTTTGTGGTTAAGCTGTAACATTTCGCAAATACTAACAGTAGCAAAATAAGTGAAGGATGGGGTATGGTATGTTGGGATCTAGTAAGAATTTGGTAGCAAAAGCTTAAAAGAAAAAACAGGCACAATGTAAACATCTTTAAGGCAGTTTTTTTCCTACAATGTCCCAAAGAAAATCCCACGAGTCCAATGTTTGGATGTGTAATGTATTACAAGGCACATACGTCATTGTCGTTGCTTCCTGTGCTTCTTGTCTCTTTGTCAGTTTTCTCCCTGTAGATATTGTAAATATTATTGTACAGTGAACCAAAGACACCTTATTTTTCCTGATAAAGTGCAAAATAAAAAATTGTTTAAAAGACCATTTTGTGGGAACTGGTGGCATCGGAGATGAGACTTGCAGACTTTTGCAGAATACAAATAAATACATAATTCAGCCACTTCTGTCACTCTGTGGTGGCAGTCACTGAGCTGACACTGCATTTGAGGTGTTGAATTAAACTCTGCAGAGATTTATCTTTACAGTTTTACTCACATTCACAGTTGTGATCAGAGAAAAGAAACAAGAGTTTTCTTGATAAACTGTATCTGATAGAAAGTTTTTGATAGCATGCTACAATGCTATAAATGCTATAAAACTGGGGGAAAAACACAATTACATCTGCACTGAGAGCCAATGTTCTCTCCTGAACAGCATGCCTACACAACAAGTCCTCAAAATCCTGTGTCCCCTTCATCTACATGTCTATAGATGTCTGCTCCAACGACCACCATTTGAACTTGATCCCACTTATTCCAGAATTTGTCTTTAAATGAGCATCCAACTTGTGGGGCATACACGATGACAGATTTCAGCATCGCTCCAATTTCTTTCAATATATCACCTGCCCAACAACGCATATAAAAATGTTGGTGTTATGGACCAATTAAGACGGTGTTAGGTTGATTTTGATAATATTTGTTGTTGTTGTAATTAAATTTGTAAACCTTGTCCTTAAACTGTATGTTTAGAGATTTTTCTGTTCCTCCCCTACACATCGAGGATGTGGGGGAGGCAAATAGTTGTTTAACTGCAGGCACATTCCATCTAAAGGTTCTGGTTTCCTTATCTGGTAAGGGATGTTCACTCCCGGCCATTTAGGGGCTTGCCTACGCCTATGCTTGCATGTGGTGAACCATTAAAGTTAAGCCATATACGGGTGAGGGGAGATCCTCTGGATAACTACGAAATGTGGTTAAATAGTTCTAAGCTTATATTGTGTGAGAAGAATTCACATATACAGAGACACATACCCACATGCACTCACACATGCACACAACACACACACATGTGCTCGCTCATGCATGCCCACACACACTCAGTGCCTGAGCTTTTATGGGACACACTATATGGGTTTTACATTGCGTAACCAGTTTAAACCAGTTTGACAGTGTTTGTGTAACCCACGGTGGTCATTAGCCTGCAAGGGGAGTCAGTTTGAAGTCGGCTGAACATCTTGCCGGACTTCCCTTGCTAGCAAGTGAGAACCATATGGAGTGTCTTGCTTTTTTTCACAGTGACGAACCTCTGCGCCAGCGAAGTTTGACATTAGACCTAACAGAGGGCATATAAGTCTGTGGCAGGACCTGCATTAAGTTCTTTGGATTATTACAATGTTTACCTCCTTCCTGCTTAAAACATAGCACACAACACCTAAATAAACAGAGACCATGGCTGTGTGCAGTGCCCCCAAGAGCACTAAAGACCAGAGGACACACACCCAAATGATAACGATGTGTCCACCTCAGCAGATTCAAGAGGGAAGCCCCAGATTGACCCCTCAAGGCCAAAGGGTGAGAGCCTCAGATGTGAAGCTGACTCACCAGGGGCTGGCCCAACTCGAGGACAGGCCCCCAGAACCACCCAGCAAAAATATTATTACATTACCAATTTACATATCAGCTGGCATAGTGATTCATAGTTCTCACTCATTATTTTTTAAAAAGAATTGTTGAGCTCCTCACCTGACATAGTGCTCTTGGTATTGTGAAATTTAGCATCTTCAAACAGACGATTCAAACAAACAAACAGGCTATCATTGATGTCATCAACATGAATGTTGCATGCCTTAGAACAGTGGTTCTCAAACATTTCACAATGAGCACCACCTAATAAAATATATGGCTCTTGAAGTACCACCCTTATGACCGACATTAAAGTACAGTAGTATAGGCCTATTTAACACCGCATACAGTTCACTTACATACATACTTATATGAATGTTATTTATTTTAACTGTCATAAACAAGATATGACAAGTGATAATAATAACAACTGTACTGCATTAAAACATTTACAACAGGTGCGATATCCAATCTCTAAGTGATGACCTGATGAAACCTGCTTCCAGGTCCAAACTACTCTGCATTTATTAAGGCTGTTGTGTTTTTAACATGTTTTAATTCTTTATATTTTGTTCGATTTAATATGAACAAACCCCTCAAAAAAAGTCAGTGATCACTGTCGGCCTCTCTTGGTTTTTAATCATCACTATTCATTTTAAAGCTCAGTTTTTAAAACATCACGATGTAACTACAGCCCAGCCCATGCAGCGGTATATTAATGACTGACCTTATATTGCAGTTGTTCTCCTGACTGAAGTTTGGTCTGTTAACTTCATTCTGCCATGCAGTTTCATTTGTTCCTAACCATCGGGAACCCTCATTGAGTGGAAAAAAAGTTATCCTCCAGCTTCACTGTTTATATTATGCTAACTATTGCTGTGTAGCTAGCCACCATGCAGCACATCATTATATACCAGCTAGCCCAACTTCAGTAACCCTACAAACGTCACTGCTGTTTAGTTTTCTGTCTGCATTTATTTTGGAAGTGATAGCAGAGCTCCACGTTTGAATTTTTGCTGTGACGTTTAAGCTGCTGGATTTTTGGCTTCACGACCCTACTTCATGGTTTGTGGACATCGAAACTCAGTTGGTCCTCGTGGCGTTTCGGCCGTTTGGCTCTCGGCGAAGGCAGTCACACTTTTTCTCCTCTCCTCCTCTCCCTTATCTTCCCTGCTTAGCCTCTTGTGTCCTTGTCTTGTCTCGTGTGCATTACTTTCCCTGGAACAGTCTCTCACTGTCGTTCTCTAAAACCTAAAAGAGAATTATGGATTTGATCAGCTGGTCTCTGAATGCTATTGACACCCTTTTCTAAACGAGAAGTCTGGGCTCGGGAGAGCCCGAGTGCCCTGAAGGGACTTTCCCTGCCGGATACACGATGGACGGGTGGCAGACCTGGAGGATCATGTGCCTGGCGGGACTGTCGATCGAGGACACTGAAGATATCTACCTATTCGGAACCATGGCAACAGGGTTCTTGCTGATCGGAGCTGGCTTGAGATGACCGAGATGTGGGTCCCAGGCACCTTTACTCCATTTCTAATGACAGGGGAGTGGACCTCTCTGTGTCTTTTGAAGTAAGCTATGAGTTCTTTTGTTTTCAGGACATGCAGTTTTTTTTTCTGAGCAGCAGGCAGGGAGGGATTTGAAGGTGGTCCAGTTTGGTGGTGTGGCGAGGTGTGGCTTGGGTACAGCAGCAGGCGAGGCTGAGACACACTGGAGCTCCATCAGCTCATCACGCCTTCCCTGCATAAAAGAGTGTGCCAGGACCAAGGTTGTTGGCGTTGTTGTGTGCGTGTGGTGCAGCTGAAAAGCTGCAATTGAGTGAAAGATACAGCAACTGGAAAAGAGACATGTTGAAAGAGCAACTATGTGGTCGGGTCCGAGCCAGCCAGTAGAGGCGCAGGCCCGAATGGTGACCAAGCTCGTGGCCATGCAGAGGGAGCAGGCGGCGGTGTTCACGGCCAGGCAGAAGAGCTGCATGACTGGTCCGAGCGCCGGATGCAGCTGATAATGAGTCTGACAGCTCGGTTGGTTCCTGAGCATCAAAGAAACCTGCTCTGCTTGAGCCTGAGGTCAGCGCACGGTGAGGACCTCTTCTGCCTGAGTCAGAGGTCGCTGTGTCGTCTAGTCCAGTGGCATCGGCCAGGCGTGTGTCTACAGGCGCGCAGGTGTGGTCCTGCCACACCTGCACCTGCGTGTTTTAATGATCCGGGTTCTTGGAGAGGTTTGTTTCCTGAGGGCTGTGTAGGCAGAGATGAGGAACATAGAGGTCAGGAAAGGGTGTTGCTATGTAGACATGCTTGATGTTACTGTACACATTGTCTAGTGTCCTGTCCCCCCTTATAGGACACTTAACTTTGGAAAATTCCACCAGAAAAAGAAAGGGAGCATCTTGACTCAGTAAGTCTAGGGCTAAGCTCTGAATCTGACAAATATTATGCCTATGCCAAGCATTTAATAGGATATTCTTTGATGCATAGTTGTCAACATATGCACCAGCTAACATCCTAAGACACCCTGCTAACATGATTAAAATTGGCTTGGTATTTATCATAGCAAAACAGCAAAAGGCAGTCCCGTGTTCTGTCTGATGACCCTCTCTCTCTGCCTACCAACAAAATAGCTGAAGAAGAAAAGATTAAAATAGACCTACAGTATATCTACAGAGCTATATCATTATCTGTAGGTAATTTCACACCAAGAGCTTTATTTCTTTTAAAGAACCATTTGTACTTGCAGTAATGTCAAACACTGAGTGGTCTCTCTCTCTCTGGGCGACGCCTCCGCTGCATTTCCTGAAGCAGGAGGAGGAGAGCCACCTTAGTCCCCAAAGCCACCCTGCTTTTTAACTCCAGCCAATAAGACCATTTCCCACACCCATAAACATAAACTACACTCTTCTTATACTACTGACACTTTATTCACTTTTAGTCACTTACAGTTATTTATTCACCTTTCAGTCACTTTAATTTAAAAACTGTGGAATTTTAAAACTGTATATACTGTATATTTATTATTTCACTCTTATTGCCTGTTCTTATTGTCCTTATCTTCAACGTTATGCTGCTCGGTTGTTTGTTAATTGCCCCTTGGGGATAAATAAAGTCTTCTGATTCTGATTCTGATTCTCTCTCTGATATGCACACACACACACACACACACACACACACACACACGCGCGCGCACACACACCTGCACACACACGCACACACACGCACACCTACACACGCATACACACACATACACAGATAGAAAGAGAGGGGAAAAAAGAGAAAGATTAACAGAAGTGTGGTCAGCGTGTTGTCAACTTTTTCAGCTTGTACACACAAACTCGATGCATGGAAAGTTAAGCATTGTTTTTGAGGTTGGGCTTTCAATTGAGGTGTGAATTCACAGGGGGCTTATCTTCCTGTCTCGCTTTCTATTTTAGTTGCAGGAACCTAGGCTGCTGCTTTACCTTCTCATCAGGGCGAGTGAAAAAACTACCTCTGTGTGACAGTGTTCGTGAAAATACCTTAAAGTAATTAAAACCTACAAAAGAGCTGTCGACACACAGATACCCAGTCACACTACATCATCCTTACATATTCTATGAATATTCTCATATTCATAATATTAAATGGCAGATTTAGTGAAATGAGCCAATGGCGTATATCAAAGCCACTTTGTGCCAAATACAGTATTTTGCAAGTAGTTTTTTGGGTCTGTGAAGAAATGAAAAGAATTGAAAATTTCATTTCATTTATTCTGTCTATCTATCTATCTATCTATCTATCTATCTATCTATCTATCTATCTATCTATCTATCTATCTATCTATCTATCTATCTATCTATCTATCTATCTGTATTGTTTTTCTTTGATAGGTCATTAAAGTATTTATCTATGGTTAAGTATATTAGTAGCATGAGGGTTATGCTGAGTGATTTTGTGGAAATTTTCTGTGTTGTCTGTGAGCTTGCAACTCCTCCCACAGATAAAAGCAAGTCAATTTGAAACTCCTAATGCACAAGCTAAACTGTCCGTGTACTTTAAAGTATGTGTTTCTCACTTGTTTAATGTTACAACTTATAGACTGACAACCTTTTAACATTTTATTGTAACAGGCTAATTATTGCACCAATTAATAATAATGTTATTTAAAAAAAATTGCATTACTGTTAAAAACTATACTAGGATTTATAGACCAACCAGTTTGTCTGATACAAAAGTAGCTCATTGCGGCTTTTTTTAAAACTCCTCCCTTCATGCACATTTACACTTACAGCATATCCTGTTGAAGCCTGTAGAGTTAAAGTTAGTTCTGAGTAAACAACTTTAGTGGTTGGTCAAAGAGTAGATAGATGGCTCACCACAGCCGGTCTGTTAGTGTAGATGTTCCATGTGGTTTTACAATTCAAAATGTGCTGTTAGTTCACCCAGTTTGTTCCATAATAATTTTGCTTAATCAAAGCATGTGTATGATATAAAAATGCATACTTAACTACTAAAAGTAAGTAAGAGTAAAGGTCCGAGTGTGCTTCTCTTACTTATGTTTCCATATATAGGACTTTGTAGGTTGTGGTAAGAGCTATAGATACTCAACTCACTGTCAAAACCACCGACTCTTTTCAGTTGGTCTCTCTCTCTCTCTCTCTGAAGACTCAAAAATGAAGAATCGACAGTGCACACCTTTCATTTTATAAATCGAAATATCATCTATTCTATTCATACATATTTTATTTCATTTTTGGTATTTATTTCCATGTTTAGATATTTCAAACATGAAAGACGGTGTTGTAAAATTTAAAAAAATCTGCTTTTTTGTAGATTTCCACAATCACTCGATCTGTGAGAATACAATGCACTAGAACTACATGGTTAAAGCTATGTGGTCAGCCATAGGTTATTAAGGCTGCCAAGTGAGACTTGCTTAGCGGGTTAGGGTGACTGACCTCATGAGCTGCTCTCTAACACACACACACACACAGATGCAAAGACACACACACCCTGAGAACATAAGCAATAAGTGAGTGAAACAGACTTGGACTTTCACAGAATTTCACTCAAGCAATGGAGAACAATGCTTTTTAAAAATCCTGTAACTCTGTTTAGTCTCTCATTTGTCATGACTTTTCCCAAAATAGGCTCATTCATCAAACACTACATTTAAAGTTGAGTTGGATCAAATGAAAAAAACAAAGCAAAACCCATGACCACTTATATTTTAAAATTACAGAATTAAAAAAAATATTGTAATACCACTACTGCGGCACACTGAGTAGTTTATTAACCCAGTTGTTTACACATATTTTGACATGAAAACTGCTCTAAAACTAAGCCCAAGTTACAAGGGGTTGGTTGTATAAAAGATGATTACTGCCAGACTGATGATGCAACTGTCTGAACTGAGCAGAGAGTCCAGACTGTGGAGAACTAATCAGAGAAAATAAAGGGTGAAATCTAGAACATGGCAGTAAAACTGGTTTCAGGCCTGAACGGGATAGCTCACCAGACTGAGGGCGGAGCATTGTGGATGCTGGATAAGCATGGAGGGAAGTTAGAAAACTATCAGAGCTCCAGAAAGGTATCCAAGGTGTACTGGCAGGAGAACAATATGAGAACAGCCCCACCAAGGCTGGAGACGGTGCAATACCGGAAGAGCATATGGGAGAAAGATGTAACCTATAACAACAATGCTCAGTGGCTAGCCGAGCCCCAGCAACCTCCCCAAACAGGATACAGTATCACAGTGGCAAACATCCCAGACAGAGTATAAAGCAGGAAGAGGCCCTGACATGATTCACACCTACTGGTTAAAGAAGTTAACTGCACTCCATGAGCATCTAGAGGCACAAATGAACCAGCTGCTAAGAGACAAAACACCAATGGAATAGCAAACTGAAGGCAAGACCGGTCAATAATTATTGGTCTACTGGTCGATAATCTGCCTCAGTACCAACCACATGTAAGCTCCTGTCCTGCATCATGACCTCTAAGATTAAGAGCCACATGAGTGAGGTACAGGAAGGAGTTGGTAAGAACACTAGAGGGGCAAAACACCAGCTATTGGTTTTATTTATTTATGTGCACTGATTTAGTTGGCATCTAGTTAAATAAAAGGATGATACGATGCAAATTGTTAATGTTAGCATGCGGTGGCTGCTTGTAGAATAAAAATATACAAATGTTCGCTGCACTGAAAATGATTTGTGTTTGCTAAATGGGAGGTCGCGATATGGGGTGGGGGTGGGGGGGCTAATTTGCATTTCAGCCAATCACTTTGATTTGTGCTTTGCAAACCTTAAACACCTTCTGACTAAATCTTCCATTTGGTGGAAAGAGTACAGTACTGTGGTACTGTGAGACAGGTCTGCTGTACCACAATGATTGGAGGACTGTCTGCTTTGATTCTTCTTAGTACAACATGTAAGTGCATCTTACCTACCTATATACTTACTATGACAACTACTCAGATATACGTATAGTACTGTGACATACTATTGTTGCACAATTATGAGTTAAAGGTCATATTAGATGACCTCTGAAGCACTGTATAGAGAAGCAAATATGTATATGTTTCAGTGATTTTCTCCTGTTGTGTTATGACAATTACTGTTTCTTTTCTTTAGCCTTGCTTCATACTGCAGAGGTTCCTCATCTGATCTCTTTGACTACACTTGAACTTGGTGGAAATGCCATTTTTCACTGTCCGTTCTCTGAGAAGACAGACAGATTCTTCCACTGGTATAAGCAGTCTCTTGGGAAAATGGTTCAAACAGTAGCTACAGTAGTTTATAAGAAGATAGAGCTCATCAGTCCATTTAATCATACACGTTTCCATGTCCATAAATCAAATGATCAGTGTTTTCTTACGATCAATCACATAAACAAAGAGGATGAAGCAACATACTTTTGTCAAACTGGATCCGAGTTTTTACAACATTTCGTTAGAGGATTCTTCTTGGCTGTAAATGGTAAAATATGCTACATTATGATTGGTGTGTATTGGTGTTGTTTTTTTTCTGTCAATAATTACAAATCTTTTCCATCTTGCAAATAACTGAGCTCAGTCATTTCTGTTCAAACTCTACTTTTAATACATCACACAGATTATAATCACCAGACATCTGTTTATGTGACACAAACTCCAAAGTCATCATCGGTCCAACTGGGAAACACGGTCACCCTCCAGTGTTCATTTCTCACCAAGAACAAAGAAAGCAGTGCTCAGTGTCCCAGTGACCGCAGTGTGCACTGGTTCAAAAGTGGATCAGGAGAAAACCATCCAAGTATCATTTATAGAAATTTCACTCATAGTAACAGCATGGATGATACAGAGAGACGCTGCATCTACCATCTGTCCAAAACCATACAGAACCTCTCTGATACTGGGACTTACTACTGTGCTGTCGCCACATGTGGAGTGCTACTGTTTGGTGAAGGATCTAAAGTGGACACAAGTAAGTATGTACAGTCTCTAATATCCTGAACTCTTTTACACATTTAAAAACAGGTAGGCTGAACTTGATTAGCCGTTAGGTATTTGGATGGGTTATCTGTAGAAGTCAGCACAAGCCAACTCTAAAGATTGTATTGAAATCATAATTTCATATATATTTTTTGAAACAGCTACATTACTTAAAACAAAACGTGGTGACATTGTGAAAAGCAAAATGTATTTCATTGTGCAGAACATTTTTACCTTTGATGTCTTACACATCTGTACTGAGAAAAATGTAAAAGGTAAAATAAGGTTATATTACTGTTTATTTGTTACAGTAGTTGAAATGTTCAAATAACCAGTATTACCCACATCATTACACCACCACCAGCAGCCTGAACCATTGATCTAAAGTATCCATGTTGGTTATGTCAAATTTGGATCTTATCATCGAGATGACTCAGTGGAAATTAACTGTTATTACACCAGGCAAGAGCTTTCCACTCTTCTTTTGTCCAATTGTGGTAAGCCCATGCAAGCTGTAGCCTCAGATTCCTGTTTTTAGCTGACAAAGAGTGGTCTTCTGCTGCTGTAGCCCATCTGCTATAATGTTCAACATGTTGCATTCAGAGATGCTATTCTGCATACCTTGGCTATAATTTGAGTTATTGAGAAGTGTGTCCATTCTCCTTTGACCCCAATATCAACAAAGAATCTTCACCTGAAGAACTGCTGCTAACTGGATTTTTTTTCTTCTAGATTCACTTTTCATTCTCTATGAAGCCTAGATGGCTGCATGACGAAAATCCCAGTAGACCAGCAATTTGAAAATTATTCCCAACTTCCTGTCTGACACTATGACGCTATGTTTAGAGACGCTTAAATAATATTTCATGTCGCTTTGAAATTCAGCAGACTCTCTTTATCATATCTACATGCCTACAGCTGTGGTCAAAAGGTTACATACATGCATGATGAGCATGAATGATGGTAATTTGGGAATGAATTCTGTGAACTGTTCTTTTTCATGAGTGAAATGACTCTGCACCATGAATCTTTACTAAGATGCTCAAGCTTAATTTCCTCTAATCCTCACAGAATCAAAAGTATATATACAGGCATAAAGTTTACATGTACCCTCATTAATATTTGGTTAAATATTTCTTAAAAACTTGACCAGACACTTTTGGTAGCTACCAGGATGCATTACGGCAGAATTCAGGGTGGATATTTGACCACTTTTATTAGCAAAATTGGTCGGTTTCATGCCTGGCTTTTAAGCACAGTCTACAAATTCTCAGTAGGATTGAGGTCAGAGCTTTTGGAGGGCCATTACAGAAGCTTAATGAAATGTTATTCATCTTTGTCACCACACTGTCAGGCTCTGGAAGAAGACCTAAACTGTCACCTCCAGTTAAGCAAATGTACAGAAATTCATCAAATATTATTATACTCAGCTTTCTGCCAAAAAATGTGTTTTGTCTGTCTACAAAGGTAAGATTCTGAGGAAGGAAACAAAAAGTTAAGCAATTTAGCATTACCAGTAAATTATGTTGCTGTTAACTGTTTGCCAAAAACTGCCAAAATAATTCCAAGAATATGTTTTGCCAAAATTTAACATTTGTTTGAGTTTTTTTTTTTTGTTTTTTTTTGTTTGTTTTTCTCCCTTTTATACAGGTTTAAGTATATGTTGCAAAATCAATAAAAACTTAAATGCAAAAAAACAAAAAACAAAAAACATTTCTCTTCTTCCAGGAACAGAAGTGGACCCATTGATTCTTACTCTTGGAGGACTGTTGGTCTGCTGTGTGACTGTAATCATTGTCCTCATTTCCTGCATGACTTGTTGTCATTTCAAAGGTTGATTATAGATTGACATTTATATTATTTGCATATATATCTAGAATATGATATTAATATGATTCTACTGCAGTAATATTTTTTTTATTTAAATTCTGTTTTTTAATAGTAAAACAAATTCTCAAAAGCAATTATTAGGCTCCATTATTTCATAAATGTTGTTAAAAGATTAGAGATTTACTGCCCACCTGGATGTCCTTGGCTAAGTTGCAACCATAGGCTCATTAATCCAGATGCCCTTGAGCAAAACTCTTTCACAGTTCTCCCCAGCATATCATAACGTCTGCATACATTATACACCAGGGTATAAAATTATTTAAAAAAATATTTGTTCATTTTTTTTCTTAGAGAATGAAAACTATTACAGACTGATATGCAGCCTTTGATTTTATTAACAGGAGCAACAAGTGTTTCCCATCGTCTGGGACATAACAAGTCAGTTGGAAATCCGACAAATGATTTGGTAAATATTAATTTTTGGTTTTCCAAATTGTTTTTGTAATTGTTTTTCCAAAACATAAGTAAGCTACATTTTCACTACAAAAAACACAGAACAGCAGCTCAGAGGAAAAGTTTCCACACAAGACACATGATATTTGACAAGAACACACAAAGCCCATTCTAACATATATAGCTTGACGAAAGATTGAGCTCTCTCCAAATCTAGCAAAATTTGAGCTGCTGTTAATGTGCTGTTCTCTGCTTTACTGTTGCCAGAGCAGGTCTTCAGTCACCTTCTGCCTTATGTGATCATCTAGTCTGTATATATGCTGAGTTGATAATATAGCTACAACAAAGAAAATCTAAAATATTTTTTCATTAACAAATATATTTCTGTAGGATGGAGAAGAAAAAGATGTTAACTATGCACCGTTGGATTTCTCTACAAGGAAGATGAGAGAAGGAAAAAAGAAGAAGAGTGACTACGCAGACTGTGTGTACTCTTTTGTCAAATCAGAAGAACAAAACCAGCAGTAGCCTTCTCTCAGAAGAGAAAAAAATCCTCAGCTTGCTTAGTCATTGTTACATTTGATTTGTAACATTGTATTTCCTTTTCCAAGACATTTTGCTAGGAACCAGTTGACCATCAAATTACATCATTTGGCAACTAGCGTTGCCAATTTTTGAACTATCAATTAAGGGACACTGGTGTGCCAGAAGCACAATGTACAACAAGCTGGGCAAACTGTAAATATGCACTATGTGCATAATTATGTATACTGCACTATGCAAATATGTGTGAATACTCTTCTAATAAAAATGCAGTAAAATGTTGGCATTCAGTTTAATCAATATTTCATTTAAAACAATAAAGAAAAATACAGTAAATGATAACAGAAATCACATGGGCATTTTCTCTGAAAAATAAGAAAAAAATAGAAATAAAATACTGTAAATAGGGGCTTCAACCACCCAGTTACATTTTTCAAGGATATGTTTTTATTCATTGCTGACAGGCTGAACCCTGGTATGTTTTTCTTCCCATTGTTCCAGATTCAAAGATTCAAAGTGTTTATTGTCATGTTTACAGAAGAAATAGCATTTCTCTGTGCAATGAAATTCTTCCTTTGCTCTCCATACGCAAATGCCAAGTTAGGTAAGGGTTAAAGGAACAAGATAAATAAGGATAAAATAAGACAAAATATTAAGATGAATAAATATAAAAATAAGGAAAAAATAATGAAAGATAAATAAATAAGTTAAAAAAAAGCAAGTGATTGAGACAAGTGATGTCGTATGCAGATATCGTTGTAGATGCATGTACAAAGGAGCTTAATTTGCAAAATGAATTTAGTGTGCAAAGTGTCCTGATGTGCACATTGCAGTTGCTGTTCAGGAGTCTGATGGCAGTGGGGAAGAAGGAGTTGTTGAGTCGGGACCTTCTGGATTTCACACTTCTAAACCTTTGTCTCGAGAGTAGAAGTATGAACAGTACGTGTTGAGGGTGTGTGGAGTCTTTGAGGATGGAGGCAGCTCTCCTCTGGACTCGATGGTAGATGCTCTGCATAGTGATCAGGGGAGTCCTGATGATCTTCTCCGCAGCTGTTATCACTCTCTGCAGGTGTTTGCCGTACCATGCAGTGATGCAGCTGGTCAATCTGCTCTCCACATAGCAGCTGTAGAAGCTGTTGAGGATCTTGGCCGACATACCAAATTTCCTTAGCCTCCTCAGGATATATAGCCGCTGCTGAGCCTTCTTGACCAGCTGTGTGGTGTTCAGTGTCCAGGTGAGGTCCTCACTGATGTGGACGCCCAGGTACCTAAAGCTGCTCACGCTCTCCACTTCACTCTAAACAGCAGCTGGTGAGGCCTCTTCTTCTTCCTCATGTCCACTATCATCTCCTTTGTTTTATCAGTGTTGAGGGTGAGGTTGTCCTCACACCATGACACCAGACTAGTCACCTCTCTCCTATAAGCCGCCTCGTCCCACCAGTGATGCAACCGATCACTGCAGTGTCACCCGCAAACTTCAGTATGATGTTGTTTTTGTTGGAGGTGACGCAGTCGTGGGTATACAGGGTGTAGAGGATGGGGCTGAGGACACATCTCTGTGGTACGCCAGTGTTTGTGATAATGCTGACAGAAGTCCTGTTGCCGATCCTGACAGACTGAGGCCTGCCAGCCAAAAAGTCTTGTAGCCAGTCACAGAGGGTGGGGTGCAGGCCAAGTGTAGACAGTTCGTGGATGAGTTTGTGAGGGATGACTGTGTTGAAGGCGGAGCTGTAGTCAACAAAGACTACCCTGATGTAGGAATCATTATTTTCCAGGTGGGAGAGGGAATGGTGAAGGGCAGCAGCATTGGCGTCTGACGTAGACCTGTTGGGCCGGTATGCATACTGCAGAGGATCCAGAGTGTGTGGAATATTGCCCTTGATGTAGGCCAGCACTACTCTGTCAAAACACTTTGCAATGATTGGAGTGAGTGCAACTGATCTGTGATCTCTGGGCTTTTCTTGGGGAGAGGATGATGGTTGTGGTCTTGAAGCATGTGGGAACGATGCTCTGGCTGAGGAAAAGGTTGATGATGGATGTGAGAACATCAGCCAGCTCGTTAGCACATGCTCTAAGGGCCCGTCCAGGGATGTTGTCTGGTCCTGCTGCCTTGCGGGGGGTTGATCATCCTCAGGACCTTGTGTACTTGGTCTATGAGCCCACTGGCGGGGGAGAGGGTCACGTGATCTGGGGGT